TACATTCTAAATAGAAATGTAATTCTTAAGAGTTTCATGGTATAGCATATATATTGTAATATATGGGATTTCTTTGTAGAACTAGCTCACATTAGTGTGCTGGTACATTTTCAGTTAGAAATTAAAATGAGTCATTTTTCAACTGCATAAATTTGAAATGCTGGTGTTAATCAATAGCATACAAAGAAAATGCAAATGAAAACAGGAATTAAGCATTAATTATTACTTCTTTGTTGTTGTTATAGTATAACTTTGTCCAAGAACTCTGTATTTTAAAGAGGTAAAGCAAAAGAAACTATAGTTAGACTTTTTTTTTTTAATTTGATAAGTAGCCAATGTCTTCCCAATTTTATTACTCCCCGCACACACAAAAAAAGACAAAATGAAAAAGACAAGCAAACAGAAAGGTACCTAGAATTTCATACAGTGTAAGTAGAATGTAATTGAATTATGGAAAACTATTCATTTAATATTCTGAATTGCTATTAAATGGTTTCAAATTAATTTATTATCATATTATTTGTTAGTCAAATTAAAAGCTGGTTTTCTGAGAGTCATCTGTTAAGTAGTTCCAATTTTGATGTATTTTGTTTTGTAACTTATTGAATTAGACACAGCTATATAGAGTGTTTGATAGATCATTTATTATAAGATACTCAATACATGTAAATAGAATCTAAGAAAGTTACCAATTTCTAAAGGAAATTAAAAGCCTAAATGTAAGAACAAGATAGAAACCAAGTATTTTAGATATTATTTGACATATTTCAGAAGTAACATCTAAATATTCATTATTTCAAGTTTATGTAAAAACAAAGCAAATTTTACTGGGAAATGTAAAGACAATTAGTGCTCTATAAAGATAATCACTGATTTAATCAATAGAAGTATATAGAATATCTAAACATGAGTAAACCATAAGTAAATTATTTCTTTAAATGCTGTAACATATACATCGAGAGGAAAGCAATTCCTCAGTTTTATAAAATAGAGTACATTACAAATCACAAAAATTTTATATACAGTATTTATCCATAGAGTAGTTACTATATTTTTATGTTTTTTCTTTTTCTTTTTTATCAGAAAGATCAACATGAAAAAACACTAATGTCATTTCTCTGGAAATATAGGAGATATATCTTCAGCAAAACTTTCAGAGAAAATTTCAGCTTCAATTTAGTTATCCACATTTAAATTCACCTGATTTTATACTCCAATGAAACATTTATCTATCAGATTAGATGCAAAGTATAATTTATACCTATTGATAAAGATTACATTTTCTTTGAAATATATTTTATCATATTCAGTGTTATAGAAAAGAGAATGGCGACTCTTATGATAATGATACTAAATCTTGAGGTAACGTTTAAATATAAAACTTTCATAATGCTTAATATGAATGTTATTCTACTGATAATAAAATAATGCTAATCAAAATATCTCTACCTTGACTATTTACATTTCATTTAAGTAGAAGTAATAATACATATATACACTTACAACCTTTAAAGAGCCTAACACATTTCAAAGATGATGTTGACAATGCTTTCTTCAAGAGTTTGCTACACATATGCTACTTGATATTAAAATATTGGCATTTTTCAGGAAATTTGAAGGCTATAAACATAAATACTACCTATAAATACTACCTATTACGTATATAGTTTTAAATGACTTTTATAAAAATCTTGCTGTAAATCATCAGTTTTATCTTTCTTCATGACAACTAGCCTTTACAGACAGAAAGGCATCTTTCAACGTTGGATTTTATACATCTAGACATTGAAGTAGCCATTATAGGAAATGCTAGGAGTTTTTTTTTTTTTTTTTTCTATTGTTCCTCTACATTAAAAAAAAAAAAAAAATCTCTGTGGCCTACAGAATAAAAATTAATATTCTATTTTGTTCCAAAATTTAAAAAATAATTGGAATATTAAAAATACTTTTAAAATAGCTAATGTATACTTGGAAATTGAGAAAACATTAAAAATCATATATAATTTCAAAATGCATCAATATTTTCTAATGATTCCTTTTTTTTCTCACTCCTTTCTTTGAATTATACTTCTTTTTACTTCCATATGACATTTTCCATATATAGTGCTTTCTTTTGAAAAACTGGACTTAAAATTTTTACTGATATATTAAATGTTCTGTGACTTCTATTAAAAAGACTTTCTTCTAGATTTCTGTTAGTTGCTGCCCTCTGGAAGACATTTCCTCTCTCTTTCTAACCTTTACTAAAATTTTCTTCCCAGACTCTTGGCCAAGAGTTTCCCGAGGCTGACTAACTCAAGCAGGTTGTAGAGAAACTTCTGGACATGTTGTTAACATCTGACACAGTGAAGTGAGAAAAAAGCCAGCGCGCAGGCAGTCACCAGGCAGGTTCAAAGAGAAATGGCAGCTCCTGGAGATGAAAAATTTGCCTTAGTATCTCCTTACCTGTAACACACTGGTTAAATTCAAATTCATTGTTTTCTGTTTGTTTTTTCCCACCCTCCACCTCCACATGGCTTAGTTTCCTGTATATCACTTTAATAGAAACCAAAAGGATCATTATGGATATTTTTTTTATTGGTGTCTACAGATCAATGTGTCGGTCTTGTCTGTCATTTTCCACAATGGTTTTACTAGACAGAATTGCATTACAGTAAGCATTTCTGGCTACTGTTTATTGAAGTGGTTGCCTAAATTTCTATTTAGACGAAGCCTTTAATGTTTTTACCCAGAACGTATAGAGGGGCTTCCCGAATTTGGGACGTTTAACATTGCTCTTTGTATTTCAACTTTTAATATCAGAGCACATATTGAAACCATAAACAATGAAAATTCAAAAAATTTTCCCCTGATATTGGAAGAATAGACTCCTTTCTTTTTTATTCTTAAAAAGCCAAAGGCATAGGGAGTGGCAGGAAAAAAATATTCTTTAAAGATCTAAGCTCTGGCTCCTGTCCTTATGACTGCTTAAAACTCCTAGAAACTTGCAACTTGAAGAACACCCCTTTTCAAATTCTAAAATAATATTAGATTCCCAAAATATCGGCAAAGTAAGTCTTACCGTCAAACGCTTGCAGCAGGTTCCAGCTCAGACCAAGACTGAAAAAGCGGAGCAGCTGGTGAACAAAAGTTTTAGTTTTTTTTTTTTTTTAAACGAAGTCTGCAAAACTAATTTTCCTCAAAATAGGGCTCAATTTCCGTTAAAGAAAGCAGCGCTTACAAATCTCAGAATTCCAGATAACCCTCACCACATCCCCCAGCAATGGAAAATAATTCCATCTTTCGCACGGATGTAAAGGTTTATTGCAAGCCACCAAACTGTAATAGAACTTAAGAAGGAAAGCTAGAGAGAATCAGGCTTAGGTGAAGGGCCTGGGTGAGAGGAAAGACTCTGCCTTGGGGACAACGCTCAAAGGTTAATCAATACTTGTTCCTAATTCAAACCAGATGGCTGGCACAGTTTGCTGTCCCCATTAATTCCATTAACAACTTCAAAGACCTGGTTACCCGTACCCTGGACACCTGAGACAATGAAAATAGCTGGGCGACACTGCTGGCGGTGTATTCGGGGACCTTAGGCAGGATAGGTGATCGCAGATATTCTCCTGTTGCGACAAGTTCCAGGCAGGACCCAATCATTCCTGCAGCTCATTACGTGTGGCTCATTTGTCCTGTGTAAACGACTTTGCCCCCAGTAGACGGGGTGGCCCCTTAAGCAAGTGGCAGTATCAAAGGCAACGCCTGCCTCTTTTTGGAGAGAAATCGAGCACAGACCTCTTCGTGGGTAGTCATTGACGGCAAGTTTTCTAACTAATTTTGGGGGATGCAAATATTTAACAGGGAGATCCGAAGCAACGTGGATTGGGGTGGGAGTGTAATATGTCTTAGTAAAAGGACCCTTGTTGTTGCTGTTAAGTGCCTTCGAGTCGGTTTTGGAGCAATGCAATTAACTGATTTATTTCTGAACACAAGAGACTAGGCTGCTAGGGAGAAATAAAGGGACTGGGGCTTCTGAGGGGAAATATCCGTGCAATCGGCACATACAAAGTGATTGAGACAAGACCGCTTTCAATATTCTGTTCCAGGAAAAGTTCTCCTTAGTGTGTAAGTAACAGAGAAATTGAGCGGGATCGGGAAAGGGTACGAGTGGCGTTGGCGGAAGACAGGCGTGGGAGGAAGGGAAGGAGAGAGAGGATCACCACCTGGCATCTCAGGTGAGAATGTTGGGGACCTGGACATCTGCAACCCCTTCGTCACACACTTCCCTTCCACTCACCAGGTCCCTTTTCTTTGGGTCCCTTTTCAGAAACTGCCATTTTTAGTCCGCGCTGCACATCCCTGCAACCTAAGAGCTTGCATTCGAGCCCATTAACACTCTTCCCACAGACTCCAGCCGCAAAAGGGTAGGTCAGCTACCGCCAGGGCGCAGGAAGATGCTAAATTTGAAAAGCTGACGTCTCGGGGCGGGCGCCAAACTAACTCTTAACCTTTTTCTTTCCTTCTTTCTTTCTTAACGTTATTGCTTCTTCCGTACTCATCAGAGCTAAGTGTGCCTCTAGTTTTTCCTGCAGGTGACACTTCCCAATTGACATAGAACAATTTTCCTGAGAGAAATAAGCGTTTTGAAAAGTGGGTGCAGGATTTGTACTTGTCGATAGATCAGGGAGGGAATAGCCGCAGCGGGCCCTGGCTCCAAGGTAGGCGCTAAGAGCAATGCTTGCAACCTTGGCCACTAGCGGGGTCGCGACGGGTGTCGTCGCGCTGCGTGGGTCCTGCTCGCTATCGGAAGTGAAACTTAGAGCTGGCGGCGCAGACTAAGCAGAAGTTTTGGAGGGAGTTTGCATGTGGTCAGCGCTGGGCTCCTAAGCCAGCCCCCAGCTCACATTACACTCTATTTATAACCTCTCAGAACCATTTCCCCCTGAAAGCAGTTCACTGGGACCACCTTCTTTTGGCTTTAACCTCTCCTACTCTTGACATCTGAGTTGCTCAGTGGGAAGCTCCTTCAAGTCCCAGTGTTTATATGTAAAGGAGACTAGCCGCTAGGGCTCAAGACCGGGATTATCCTAGCTCGTAGAAAAGTACGGCTTTCGCAGTGGGAGGGGGGGGGAAGACACACTGTTTCCAGTGAAACTGACAGTGCTTGGTGGCATTTGGAACCTTCGTGAAGTCTTCCGTCTGGAGCCTGAGAATTGCATGCTATGGAACACCCGCTCTTTGGCTGCCTGCGCAGCCCTCACGCCACCGCGCAAGGCTTGCACCCGTTCTCCCAGTCCTCTCTCGCCCTCCATGGAAGATCAGACCACATGTCCTATCCCGAGCTCTCCACTTCATCCTCGTCTTGCATAATAGCGGGGTACTCCAACGAGGAAGGCATGTTTGCCAGCCAGCACCACAGAGGTCACCACCACCATCACCATCACCACCATCACCACCAGCAACAGCAGCACCAGGTTCTGCAAACCAACTGGCACCTCCCGCAGATGTCCTCCCCCCCAAGTGGAACTCGGCACAGCCTCTGCCTCCAGCCAGACTCAGGAGGACCCCCGGAGCTAGGGAGCAGCCCGCCTGTATTGTGTTCCAACTCTTCCAGCTTGGGCTCTAGTACCCCGACAGGAGCTACGTGCGCACCGGGGGACTACGGACGCCAGGCGCTTTCGCCTGCAGAGGCAGAGAAGAGAAGTGGCGGCAAGAGGAAAAGCGACAGCTCAGGTAAAGGCGCTTCGCGAGAGTTGAGAGTTAGTTTGAGATGGAAAGGGCGGTGAGCTGACAGGGAAGCTTTTTGCAATACAGTGAGGGTACACGAAAGTTGGGGCTTGTCTTGTCTTTTCTGTCTCTCGGTCGACTAATTCAGTGAGGCTACTTGGTCCTGTTATTGGGGGGTGGGAGGTAGGCACGGGTTTTTCTATAGGCAAAACTTGTGCCAGTCAGCAGGTTAAAATTCTCCGCCGCCACGTTAACCAGAAGATTGAGAAAAAAGGAAAAGCGACAGTACTGAAACATTGCGAGGTTAATCCTTTCTCCCGAGGGATCCGGAGGGTAGTGCGCCATGAGATGCTGCGTCCGATGGAGCGTGCGTGCGTGCGGGTGCCACTCCTTAACGTTCCGACTCAGAGTTCCTTGACTTGACTTTTCCCATCGTTAACTCGATTTCCAAATTATTGCACAATATTTGGAACTTGCTATGGAACTTGGCAGAGCGCATGAGAAAAGAAAAAGTGTTTTTTTTTTTAAATTCTGATTTCAGAGTTCTTTAAATAGCATCCCTTTTCCCCCTTAAATGGTAAAAAAAAAAAAAAAAAAATTCCCTTCATTGATGAGTATCTAGGAATTCGGAGGGTTTTAAGCAATGTGTCAAAGAATTTCAAATAAATAAGTGTTCAGACTCTTCATATTCATAATGCTCATCTAAAGAGAAAATGTGAGCTCCAAAGTGGAACATAAAGTCTTCCACCAATTGAATGTTGTCTTGGACAATTAGTGGAAGGCAAAAGGCAACTCCCTTATTGTATTTCTAGTTTGCTGTGTGCCTGAGGTTCCTATGTGAGGGTGCGCGGGAGAGTCTGAAAAACTAACTGACCATAACTTGAGTGACCACGTAGAAGAGGAGCCTTCTTGAACTGCGATGTATGGAGTCACAGCCTGCCAATTTAGTAATTTAAGTAATTTTGAGCAACTCCAACTTTTCCAGCAAGTTCCTAAAAGCCTTTACCTATTTGTATCCTTACGAAAACGATGAAAAATACTTTACAGTTATGAAACTGCTAAGTTTTCTTCAGCAGCTACAATGCTGTCTAGGTCCCAACCATCTGGAAAGAGCTACTGGTTTAGTAGGCTCATGTTTGCACGTTGCTGTCCTTTGCGATATTAGTTTGATAGTCTTAGAATCTAATCCTAGATAATGGTGTAATTTTTTCCCTTCTTCATGAAACTTAAATCAAGATCCCACATAAATGATAATGATGAACCATGTATTTCGTTTTCCCTAGTGGCAATAGTTTGTCTTCAGTGTTGTTATTAACTAGATCCTTCTGTCACGATGTCAAAACTTAACTTAGTTTCCAAGACAGTGGTGAATTTTTAAAATTTCTTCATAAAGTTCATATCCAAGAGTTATCAGCTGAGTCACTCATTTTTAATGGGTTTTACAACTAAAAGTGGAACTCTCTTAAGAAAAGGCTAATGTTGCTGGAAGGTTTCTATCTTTATTAGAAAAGCATAAGAGGTCATTTAGAACTCAGTAACCTTTTTATAGACTGAGCACTTGACAGTGTAATTTTGAGAAAGCAGATCCCAGTTCAGATTGGTCAGTCTACATTTGCAATGACCAGAAAATCTCTTACCATTCATTTTACGCTCTGCAATGAAAAATCTATTTGATGGATTGTTCCTCACATTTCCTGAAGTGAACCAATATATATATATTTAAGAACAAACAGCATTTTCACAGGGCACATGTTATTTTGATTGGCAGGGGGAAAATCAGGATCTAAAAGCTGCTTGTGTTAAATTTTAATAAAAATTTTCTTACGCTAATTGGCTAGTTTAATATTCCTAACTCCCTTTGTCTGGAGTTAATCACATAATAAAGTCTCCTCTTACAGATTGAAGCCAATTACTAGAGTTATGGAAAAGCAAACAAAGAAAAACCTTTGTCAGCTGTATAAACTATTAATAGACTATAACTTGATTAGGAAATACATTTAACTATCATGAAAGATGGTGGGCTTTTCTTTGATAAGATATTTTGAAAGGACTTTCTATTAAAAGGAAAATCGAAATAGTTTCTGGTTAAGCTTATGCATATCGATTGAAAATAAAACTTAAATTGCCAATTTTATTGCCAGAGTTAATTAATGTTTGTTAGATTTTTCTTGTTGTTGTCAAGTGCCCTTGAGTTGCTTTGGACTCATAACCACCTTATATAGGTCTCGTGAGGAGCGGTTAATGAGTTTGAACTGCCAACCTTGAAGTTAGCTTGCAGTTAGCAGTCCAGTGCTTATCCAGAGTGCCACAACAGGCCTTGCTAGATCTCTGGTGGTGGTGGCAGTGGTTGTGTGTGACCAAGTCAGTTACAACTCATAGCAAGCCTGAATAGGGTTTATGAGGCTGTAAATCTTTATGGGAGCAGAAAGCCTCGTCTTTATCCCACAGAAAACTGGTAGATTCTGCTGACCTTAAAGTTAGCAGCCCAGCTCATGATCCATTAGTTAGACTTTAGAAAGATTTAAATTAAAGCTATGCTCTTCAACTTAATATTGTGATATTGGTTTTGGTCTTCCATGATTTATGTTCAAAGCTATTTCATTTCATAGAATATAAGAACATTTGATCAAGCAGCAGTTAAAAAAGACATAGAAAATATTACAGTTCTGGTATATCATTAACACATAATCTCTCAGTTCTTATAACAAAGTTTTCATATTTCAATATTCCTTAAAAATAAAATTGAATGGAATTATGAAATCTTGAAACTTAACATCGTACTTGATGAAAGTCAAGTCATTCCTTGTAGAGACCACATTTTGTTAGACAATGTACACACACCATATATATATATTTGAAAATAAATGCAGTACATAAATCTATGGCCAAGCAGAAACCAAAATTGTGTATCCCTGTATTTAGTACGGAAGGCCTGGTAGCACAATGTTTAACCACAACTACTAACTGAAAAGTTGGCAGTTCAAACTCAACAGCCACTCCGCAGGAGAAAGATGTGGCGGTCTGCTTCCCTAAATATTTTCAACCTTAAAAATCCTACTGAGTAGGTCTATTTTTTTCCTAAAGGATCACTTTGTGCTCAATTTGAGTTTTAGTATTCTGACTGTATATAGATGTATTCATAACTGCTAAAATCTAAAGCAATTTAAACACCAGAAAATACTGTCAAGCAACCAAATTTTTAAGAAAATGCCATTTTGTTCATACTAATGATGCTACAACTACAATACGCAGCACAACATTCTCCACTTTGCATTTATATGTGTTTTCCTTAGGCAAACACACTATTGTATAAACTCAAGAAATTCAGGAGTTTAGAAAAGTTTATTGACTATGGAAAATAGCTGCATTTAACAGAAAAGCAAACCATTCATTTTTAAGTGTTAATCATTTTTATGACTTTGAATCACTATGATTTCCAACATTATTAGCAAAGTCAACATCTGTTATGTCTTCAAAGTAACTCCTAAAACTCGAAAGTTTATAAATATATTTAAAATCATCAATACAAAGCAGGTGTTGGGGGGAGGGGGTATGTCTATAAAGAGTGTGAATTGCTTTGCTTCAATTTTAGTTGATTGTTCTCCAAGTAATGCAGTAGGTAATAGATTTAAACTGCCCACTTTCAGTTAAAATAACAAATTAATTAAGCAATATAACTTTAGCAATATGCAATATAAACATGCAAAAATTTCTATTGAAATAATTATATACATATATATCAGTATGTATTTTATCAAAATTTTATATATATATATCCATAAAGGGAAATAGTGATAAGGGAGTTGGATTTTACTTGAATTTGAATTTTGTTAGATTGTTGTAAAATTGCAACTATACTATTTAAAACTACTAAAGTATCAAACATTTGCTGTCAAATTATTTCTGCTTATATAATTGGGCAGGCAGAATGGCAGGCAAATATTTCACTTAATCAGTCAGCTATCAGCTAGAGGTTAAACTGTGAAATAGTGTTTTACCAACCATAACTCTGATATTATATTGTAAATTTTTAAATATATTTCAATCATCATGCTTCTTGAAAGGCAAAAATTGTGATTTTTTTTTGTGTGTGAGTGGTTTAATTTAAAATAGCTTACTGAATGGTGAAGATTGTGGAAGAATATTGAGCAAATTAAATATCTTAAATAGACTAAAACTGCCATTTTCATTTTTTTTTTTGAAGTGGTAGATTAATTTTAGGTATGAACATTTTATAATGGTGGTGGAGCATATATTAAAAAAAAAAAATTCTCAGTACCATTGACCTACTGAGTAAAATACTTAAATCATTTGCTTTTGAATTAAGGTGCTTTGCTGTGAAAGTCAGCAATAAATAGAAGCAAGAATGCAAATAAATATAGGAATAGATTACAATTCTGCATGAATCTCTTCATTTGTAGTTCATTTTAAAAGGAGAATCTTTTACTATTAGGCATGGCACCACTCAAACTTTCTTTCAGAATAAGAAACAACCACAGAAGATTTAAATATGATGGATCTGTCTACAAAAATTGCCAAAGACAACCACTATCTTGTCACCCTATAAGCTGATTTCCACTAATACACTAAAGAAAAAGAAAAGAGAAGACATCATAGTGATTATCTCAGTCTTTCTCTGTGTTTGAAAACATAGACCCTTCATCACAGCACTGAACTTAAACATTCTAAGAAATTATTTTTAAAGAAAAATGAAATAGCAAGAAAGATCAATCTCTTCCCATATACTCAAAATGTTTAGGAGATGAATTCCATATTTAATGGAAGAATTAAGTGGTGCTTCTTTTTTCTGACCTGAGAAATATCAATTTATGGATGAACTAACAACTGAATGATGTCAGAAATCTACGCATAGAATCTATTACATGAACTTGACCTGCAATGCAGCTTTGACTGAACAATTTTATTCATTTGCTATATTAAATAGTAACTTGAAATGTAAAAAGATGGTGTGAGGGATTTTTAAAATTCTATTTCAAATGAGAAAA